GATGCTATTGTCATTGTTGAGTGTGATAGGAAAATAGGTAGAGCTCTCAAACGTCTTGAAGATGAGGATGCAAAGGCTGCTATTGCTATATCAGTCTCTGAAGTTACTCAGGCTTTGGATAGGTCTTAATTTTGTCTGTCTGACCTTTCTCCCACTTGGGACTTACAGATTTATTTCTTTTCTATGTTGATGTTACAGACACCAGAAGTAGTAGAGCTTTCAAAGCAGATTAAGGAGAAATTAAAAGAAGTTAATCAATATGGTATCATGTTTTTGCACTAGCTCGTCTTTTATTTTTTTCAGGGCTGTCTCTAAGTTATCACCTAAGATTTTTTCTTTTGAGAAAATTTTTATTTATTAATCCCCTTTTTTTTTTTTTGTTTTGAAAGTTAAGGTAACATTGGAAGCATCTCGCTTCGTGTGTTATTAGTTAAGTTTTTATGATTTGATTTTTGTTGAAATCTATCTACTTTTGATGTTGAGTTTGAGATTTTATTTCACTTTTATGCTTGAATGCCTTGTTTTCAAATTGCCTTTCGAAGGTTATGTATAAAAGGAGGGGGTGGGGGTTGGGCAGGCTGCTAGTATTTTCTATTGAGGTTTATACGTACGAGGTGTGACTCTTGAATTGCAACAAAGATGCGTTTTCTGCCTCGCCAATTGATGATGAGTACTTGATTTGTTTTCTTTGATTTAACTTGGTTATTCTTCTTTGAATTAACTGATTCAGGTTGATGTCCAAATTTATAACAATTGTTGTGAAGTTTTTTGTTTGTAGGTTCAATAGATTTCATAAATTTTAAGATTTTGATTATATGGTACAGGGGGATGACCATGGTTGGAGTTTGACTGCTTTCCCTGTAATCTCAACTCTAAGGTGTTTAATTTGTTATAAAAACTTAAAAAGGAATAATTAAATGATTCAATCAGTATTTTTAGAGTGAGGAGACTGCCTTAGATTATCCAATTGTCTGGTTGATATGTTTGGATAGTTAAGATTAAATCAATATGGTTGAATTCAACCAAAGGCTATGTCTCCTCACATAATCTAGAGGACTTGGCCAATGGTGCCAAAGAATGGTCAACCGTTCACATCATTTGGTGTGCCTTTAAATGGCAGATTAGCATGACAAAGTAATGATCTGTCACAATATCACTTTTGTTGCAGCCTTTGTAAATGAGTTTTTGAGAATTCTTGAGAAATTTCTCTTGTTAGGGAGTTTAACATATGATTGGTTTCAGTGATTATATCAAATCCATAATATTACATTGCTTTACTTGATGACTTCCCACTAGGCCATATTGTGTTTGATTTTCAAAGCCTTTTTACAAGTTTTTTGTTTAAAGTTCTAAATTTTGTACATACAACAATTATGTTGCATAATATTTTCTTTGTCCATTGTCTTAATATTTACTGTGGATAAATTGTGTAAATTTTATGATTAGCTTTGGGGTGTACATGATATCTTTTTGATTTGCAGATCTTGAAGGCAAAACAGATCTTAAAATACAAGCTCTAGAAGAAGTAGAAGAGCTTAGAACTAAAAGAGCAGATAAACAGGCACTTGATAGCTTCTTTAGATGTAGGATTTGAAATGGGTCGCTGAAAGTATTGATTTATTCATATCAGAATTTCTGATATTGACTGTATATTAAGTTCCTCATAATTTGATTCTTGTATAACATTTAGTCTCTTGGTATATATGATGCTTCTGTTTATTGTTATAGTCAACACTGCTTTTGGATGCATTCAATAAAGATCAGGCATCTTTGCCCCAACCATTGCCCAACCCTCCATTTTTGGCACCATTGTCTGTGCCTGCACCTAATCCTCAGACCCAGGAAATGATAAATGAGAAGCTGAAAAAAGCTGAGGATCTTGGTAAGACTCAGGTGACCTGAACTCCGTTTTTTATGTATGTAAAGCAAGGAGAAAAACATCTTGAGTTCTTAATGATGGATATCTATTAAGTAGCATGTGTTAAATAACATAAACATCTTGAGGTCTTGACAATAAATATCTATTAGGTAGCATGTCTTAAATAATTAAATTCCTAGAAATGGAATAGCAGTAATCCTTAAGTTGTTTCTGCAGTATTTATTATGCCAATTTATATTCCTTCCTGTTTGGGCTTTACCTTTTTTCCTATAAAAAAATGTCAATGTCAGAAAATTTGTTTCCCCTACCATTCCAAAACAATTGTCAATGGTTGATAAAGACTCAGTGCTTTACTGTTTTTTCAATTAACACTCAGTGCTTTACATTAACAATCCCTTTAGGGTGGTTTCATTTAAAATATACAGAAAGGCATTGAATTGTGTTGTACAAAGTTTTCAAGAATACATGATGTACTTATCAATGTTTTATTAACAGTCTCTCTTGCTCTCTTATTGTTGTTTAGGTGAGAAGGGGATGGTAGACGAGGCACAAAAAGCATTAGAAGAGGCTGAAGCACTCAAGAAGGTTTCAATTTGTGAATTTAGTAGTGTTATTTCTGTAGATTGATTTTTATTAACTTGCACCATTTCCTTCTCCTTGGTATGCGTTATTTAGGGTAATTGTTTTCCCATATATGTTCAGCTCTCTACCAGACATGAGCCTGTTCTGGATTCCTCAAAGTATATTGCTGCTGATGTTCGCATGTGAGTTCCGTTTTTCTTTCTTTCAGTTTCACAGAAGGAAAACTATGATAAAAACTAGATAAGAAAACTTAGACACACTTGGACCTTATTGGGAAAATATGAATTCGATTTGCATAATTAATACATGAACAATCCCCTATCATAATTTGATTTTAGTTTAATTTTCTTTCAGTTCATTTATATGTTATTATGCTATCTGCTCTAATCTTTTTGATCCAATTTTGTTTCAGACTGATCAAAAGCTACGTGTTTGTGATATTTGTGGAGCATTTTTGAGTGTTTATGACAGGTGCATTTTTTATCTTCTACTTCTTGATCATAGCCTTTTATCTTCTTTCTAAGAGCCTCAAAAAGTTAGTGTTTGGGGTTTCAAATGCTTCAGCTTTTGACCTGGCTATTATACCTCCTTGTCACCAGTAGACTTTTGGGCCCAGTTTTACGAGGATAACTTTTGCAGCTACATAATGTGCATCTTTTCCAATTTTTGTACTTGTAGATCATGCAATTGTTAGAAAATAAATATTTGGGAAACTGTACAATCTATAATGCATACTACTGCAGTATATATATGTTTTTCCTTTTTTAAGTTTCCAGGTCAAAGTGATTTGATTTATCTTGTTTCTTTCAGTGATCGACGTTTAGCAGATCATTTTGGAGGCAAACTTCATTTAGGCTATATGCAAATCCGTGATAAATTAGCAGAACTTCAGGTAAGATGATTTACATGCTTAGTATATGCTGACTGTCTATGGTGGCTCTGCTTTAAGTGTTACATTATAGTGCCTGGCATCCGAGATGTTGGTTGTATAAATTGCCTGAACTATCCACATATTATGCCTATTATTATTATTATTATTATTAAATAATCAAAACTTTATTTGAATGCTGTTACCCAATGGATTCTAGTGAAACAGCAAATTAATACATCTTTTCTAGATCCCTTTAAGGTTGTATTGTGAATATGTTGGACAGGTGCTGGTATAATGTTTCTCATTCTTCTATACAGATTCTCAGTTAGTATCATCCCTGAGTTTTTCTGACCTCAGGGAAGAATAATATCTCCTAGTTTTCAATTTCTTTTGATTGTTTGTCGATGCTAGCCTTTAAAACATACTATTTTCCACTTGTCTCTGCATATCGGGGTTAAAATGCATCAAAATATGACATGTCTTGGTGCTCAACCAATTTTGATAGATTAGTTTTTTCTGCTGAAAGAATGAAAGAAAAAGGAAACATGAAATCAAATAGGAGAGAAGTATAGGAAAATAGTTTGTTGTAAGTAATGTAAGAAAAAAAAATGAGCTTTTCATATGTTTAAAATCTGTGACAACAAATCTGATGAAGGCTTGGTTTGGTCAGGGTAAGTTGCCTACTAATTATGCCTACCACATTAGAATTCTTTCCTAATGGTCCTTGTGGCATGTAATATTTAGCTAAATTGAATTGGCATTTAGGTTTTTGAAAGAAGCATTCAGTAGTATTTGCTGATTATTGTTTTCTCAGGAAGAGAGAAACAAGAGCCGCAAACTTGACCGGTATGATGACAGGAGGTAATCCTCTCGTAGTTTCTTGTCCTTTTTCCTTTGGTAAACCATTGGGTGGTGAGGAGGGGGGGGGGGTGTTGTGATATCCTTTTTATTGGTGGTGTATAGATCGAAAGAAAGAAGCAGAGATCATGAGAGAGAATCAAGTCAGGACCGAGACCAAGGGAATAGCCATGACCGAGGGAGGGATTATGATCGTAGGAGCAGAGATCATGACAGGTATGGTGATCGAGATCGTGATAGGGATTATGAGTGCTCTCAGACTTATGATTCTAGAAGTCGCCACAGGTCATGTTCAAGGTCTAGGGAACGCTCCGAGGATCATGATCGCCACAGGTACTTGTTTAACAATATCCCATGCTTGTACAACATATTATTAGTTTTGTTTTGTGATCATTTTTTAACTTATTAAATGTGTAATATAATATAATATTTGTTTTCTATTATTGTAAAATGTGCCAACCTGAGTCTTTTACCATTGTTTTCAAATTTAATGCTGAACTCCAGCTAGTATTTGAGTCCAAGAAGCTTAATATAAGATAAAAGCCAGGGACAGTTGCATCAAATGTATTTGAGGATGTGAGCTACAATCCTTTATGATTTTGGCAACAAAGAAACTCTTTTAGCCTGAAGCTAAATCCTTCTTTTCTTTCTTCTTTTTTTGACCTTTTTATTTTTTTTGAGCTTATATGCTCAATAAGCTAATTATAATTGTTTGCACACAAAATGATCAAATTTGAGAAAAGAAATGTTGAGTTAAAAGTTTTGATCTTAAGTTTTTATGTTCAACGAGCCTGAACATGTTGGCTAGTTTTGAACATATTGTTATATATAAGCATAAGGATAAGAATCTTACTCAACATTTGAGTGCTATCATCTGTAGTATATTTCCCTTATTATTGGAATACAGCATAGAGAAATGGTTGTAAATCTTGAATAGACCCAGAACCAATCATGCTTAAGGCATAGGGCGGTAGCAAACACCTGTATTGTAGATTTTAATGCTGTTTTTCTTCACATAAAAAACGTTGGCTTTTTTTAATCTCATCTAAATTCTATAATATCTTGATTACTGTTTGATTATGATGAGCTGATGAAGGGATGGCATTCCTTTCGTACCTCATTATATTATGACTCGTTAGTTATTGCTTGGATTTGAATCTTGATCTTCACTTCAAAACCAAGTGATAGATATTTGCCTGCCTTATTTTTATTACTTTCTGTTTTGTGCCTAAAGCTTTTAAAGTTTTTTGTGCTGATAAGGATTATTCTTGAACCTTACTCATTGTTTTTAATCAGGCGTGACCGATACTAGATGCATGAATGCTGCCAAGAAGAAAATGAATACGAAACTGTTCTTGCTTAGGTAAGCCGAATTATATAGGGGAGTAGCATTCCTCAGTTAAGTTATTTGACAGTTTGTCATGTGGTTGTATCAACATGTTTAAGAGGGTATTTGTTGTTTTTTGGTACCTAGAGACTAGGAATTGAATCTTAAGAGTACAAGTAATTCTATTATCAGACCATATAGTTGACAATTAAGAGGGTATTTGCTACTTAGTGATTTGTGTTTGGATTCGGTATCGTTGTAGATGTAAGTTCGGTTGATTTTCCTATTCCAATTTGCATGTTGGGCAATTTTTCAGTTAAGTATCTAAAAGGAGAATTAATATAATGAGGTTGAAGTTTATGTTCTGCTTTGACGGCTTGATATTAAGTTGGCAAGAAATTTGAGGATGCTGGAAACATGATTCACACAGTTATATCCAGATTCAATCTCATCTACTGGTAATAATGATGCATGATTGGGTGTGAATTGATATGCATGAAAGAATTATTTATGAAAAGAAAAATTTTTTGTAATTCTCAAATCATTTGCAAAAAGCATTAGATCAAATTACATCCAAAAGTTAAATGGGAAACTGCAGGGAGTGGAAAGCTCATCCATTGATACCAAATATCACTTAAAGAATCATCTGTAAGGAGTGTGCTTTAAGTATGCAAATGCACATCTCCAATATGCAAAGTGGCTCAATCTGTCTCATCTTGTGTAGCTTATTATCACACACAAAGTAAAAAAGATGTGGACCTCCCAGGTATCTATGTATCGCAAAAGAAAAAGGAAATACCTGAGGCACCAAAATTTGTTGTGCATGTGAAAGCTAAAATTTATATTTAAAATTATGGTTTGCTTTGTGTCTAAAAGAAAAAGAATATAGCAAACCAATCAAAACCAACAAACTATATTCTAATTAAAAACAAAGTACATCAAAAGTCAATTGATGATTATAAGTAACATTTGTTTTTTGAATACTTTATCTTTAAAACATCATAAATAACAGAATTTAATTTTGGGCACCAAGCAATGTGGCAACTTTATAAACTTCGGATCCAATTTATGACTTATGAGCGTAGCATTCAGACCTTATAGTAATTAAGAAAGCAACCTCTCAATATATATAGTTCCATATAGTTCCATATGTATAACAAATGTATTTTTATCATACAAGCAAAGAAAGCAATATTTGTTTTCTTGAAGGATATTCTCTCTTTAATACCATAAAAAAACCTATAAATTTAAAGTCTTTGCATGAATTTAATAATACCTATTATAAGTTGCAGATGAGTTCGAGAAATAGAAAAGATTGTCTTTTTTTTTTGGTAGAAAAAAGGGATCAATTTTATTTAGTGAGGTAACATTGTAGCCACCAAGCAATGTGACAACTTCACATCCAATTTATGCGTACACCATTCAGACCTGCAAGGAACTAAGCAAGCAGCCTCAATATACCTCCATGCATGTTTACAAGAGATGTACCTTGATCAAACAAGTTTAGAGAGATGATGGAAGCATAAGACCAACTCACCATCAAATTTCACTTGGAAAGGACATAAGCCGCAATTTCTTTGATCTCAATTTTCAGAATCACCTTGATTCTGCAGACATAAAAACACCACAATATTGACAATGAAAGGAAAAATTATGGCAAAAATTTTCCTTTCTAAAATCATGATCTATTACGCGTTCATACATACCTTTTTAGTTTTTCTTGTTATTTCGAAAACTCGAAATGAAGATTTGTGTAAAAAAGGAAAAGGGATAGAACTTAAAAAATGAAAAACCAAAGGAGATCTTTCGAATTAATACATACCTTTTGCATGAACTGTAGTTGTATGGTCGAGTTTAGGTTGCCATCCCAAAAGCCTTCATCCGCATCTCTAGTCAATTTTACTTTCTGTAGTTTTGGCGTTCTTATTTCATCCATAGAGAAAGTCTGCATACTTGGACAATCCATCAAAATCACCTCTTCCAAAAATGGGAACTCAAACTTGCATTTAACTGAGCAAAAGCTTGAAAGTCTAGGCAGACCACAAAGTTGCAAATACTTGACTTTGCTAAAGACAATCTCATCCTTCACATCATCCTCCAACCATGTGACAGTTTCCAACAAAGGTAGCGGAGTGGCCTTTTGAGCTTGTGATTGGCTAACAGCAGGTTCATGAGACTCAAGTATCTCTTCAAGTGAATCACAATTCCATATTTGGAGCTTGTCTAGTCTTTGAAGCCTTTCGAACATACTAAATGGGAAAATATTCAATAACTTTTCACATGAAACCACACTCACCAAAGTTAGTTGGCAAAAAGAATCTACTTCGAGCTGGTCTTTCCATATCTTATTCAAGCTCTTCACATGTTCAATTACCAAATGCTCTAATTTGGGAAATGCCACCTAAAGATTTACACAATTCAATTAAAATTAAACATAATCATAGATATAATGAAATGAAAATATTGGAATCTATTTTTTTTTAAATGTAAAACTTTATGAGGACAAGAAAATAATAATAGCATTATAAAACATTAAAAAGTAAAAAATAAAGGTAAAAAAAAAGAGGAGAAATCACCTTTGCGTCAAAGAGAGAAAGTGCACAAGTGTTTTTGACATTTTCAGAACTAGCTATCATGTCTCCAAAAAAAGAGCTAGAGATGAAAGTCTTCAGCATAGGGCACTTGCTTATCTTAAGTTTCCAAAGGCATGGTAATTCCAAGTAATTTCCAAAACAAAATCTTGTGAGTTTTGGAAGGTCTTGGAGCAGTAGGAATTCCAAGTTAGGGAAGAAAATCTTGCACATCTTTTCCTCATCCATTGATTCTTCTACAAGTATTACCTCTTCCATCATATTACAATTGCAAATCTTGAGCCAATTTAGTTGCTCAAAACTCTTAACCATGGAGGATGTCAATAGATATTCCAAATTACCACAACCCTCCACACACAACTTTCTTAAATTTTGGACATAAGAGGAGATTTCTAGAATTGAATTGTCCAAAATTCGCTGAATGTTATTTGAAGATAGACTCAAAAACTCCAAGCTAGGAGTCTTTACCTGCAAAGATTCTTAGTTAGTCTATTAATATAAGATAGTAGGAAGATGACTATCATATTTGCTTAATTTTAGCTGAAGACAATTTCAAAAACTCCAAGTTGAGAAAACTCAACCTAATAGAAACTTCGTGAAAAAGGTCTTTTTTTTGTTTTTTTTATTAAACTAAAAACATTATAAGGATAATCCAAAAGCAAGAACATGAAAATGATGTGCAATTATGTGAAGCAAATTGATTTTTGAGTAGAAAATAGCCAACTCTTTTTAGACTTAAACATTATTCGGGTAAATGCAGGGCAAAAATGAAAAAAAATATATTATTTGGATCAAAAATCTTATTTTTAGACTTGAGTAACTTCATATTTTAAGTGGTGATGTACCAGCCAAGAGTCTTTATTTTCTAACCATATATTAAGTGAAACTTATTGAAGGAGATTCATTCATGTAGTTCAAGAGGTAGCTAGAGATGGAAACACAGACATGCGAAAAGCAAACATAAATATGATGTAAAATCTTAATTACAAAGCATAAATATCAAAAATAAACCATGTTGCTGTAAAAAAAAAAAAGAAAAGAAAAGAAAAGGGAAAAGAAGAAAAGAAACTAACCTTGTTGCTGAAGAGGTATTGGGATTCCTCTTTGTTGTGTTCCTTGGAGGATGCAGATGCAACGAATGTGACCATTTTTGGGCAGTCTTTTACAATAAAATAACATAAAGATGGAAGCTCAAGACTATGACTTCCCACATGGAAACTTGTCAAATCTGAACAAGACTCTAGATTGATCAACCAAAGATGTGGGAATTCCATTTTATTTTTTGCTCCTTCTCCCATTATCACTTGTTCCATTGTTCCACAATCTTTTACTATTAACTGAAAGAGTTGCACGAGGCCCAAGGCCAATGAATCCGTTAATAGGTACCTAAACTTGCTACAATTACAAATTTCCAGCACCTGAAGTTGTCTAAAATCTAAGAGTTCTTGAGGATTCTTGATATGCCATATTTCCAACAACTTGGGAAAATTTGACAGCACCAAACCTTGTAACCTAGCAAATCCAACCTACGCAAGTGAAAAAAAAAAGAAAAAAGCTAGTTGTATATAACACAATCCAAAAATAAATCAAATAATTTTTTATAAAAAGAATGAGTGGCTTCAAAAATATCTAGAAATCCATTCATACCTCTTCCATGTACATTCTTTGTATGGTGGTATTAAGGTCACCTTCCCAATGCCACTTGTGCTCTCCTTCAATTAATTCTACTCTCTGCAGTAGTGGTGTGTTTAGGTCACCCTCACTAAAGATCATCAATTTGGGGCATTGAATCACAATTAACTTTTTCAAAGATGGAAATTTGAAGGAGAAATTCCTTGAACAAAAGCTTTCTAATCTTGACAAGCATACAAGTTTCAAAAGTCTTAATTTAGTAAAAGTTATCACAATCAAATCTTGCATTCCATTTCCTTCATTTTCAACTATTTCAGTCAGCATGCGACACCATGATACACTCATTCTTTCTAACTGCACCAGACTTTGGGCTATTGAGATGGAAACCAAGTTTACCATTGCTTCACACCCGCATATATTCAAAGTTACGAGATTCTGGAAAAAGGCAGGTGATGTTGACAGGCTAATCAAACTCTCACATATAAAAACTTCAAGAGTTCTAAGATTTTGAAGAACAATTGACAAGTCATGGTTCCATATATGCCTGAGGTATGGAAGGGTCCTTAGATTTAATGTTTTAATCCTTGAGAATGTCTCAAGTTCAATGTGTTTCTCTTGTTCTTCAACTTCTCCTTTTGAAGGGAACAGTTCTTTGAAATTACAATGCTCCACGACAAGCTCTTCTAGATGGCAGAATCTTTGTAGTAATCTGATGGGTAAAACATCTGATTCATTATCAAGATAGTCACGAATTTTAAGAACTTTGACATTGAAAAAGAGATCTTCTTTAAATTGGTGTTCACATATAACTGCAATGTCATGTCTTGATAGTGACAATTTTTCCAACTGAGGGATGACCTGGAAAGGAATCCAATGCAATAAAACTTCTGTGTAAGTTGTATATTTTTGCTTAATGAGATCTTAATTTTGTTTATGAAAAGGAGAAAATTATTAAAAAAATAGTGCATTATTTCACATGGCAACCAAATGCACTTTTATTGCTTATTGAATAAAAACAACTCTTTTCTTTGCTGATTAAAAACAAAAAAATGGAATACAAACTGCTCTATATTGCATTTTTGGGTGGCAAGCGTTAGTTGTATCTCATATTCACATAACAAATACTCTAAAATCTAATAACAGAGAAATCCCCAAACAATAGTGGTAAAATAAAAGAAATAATTGGAATTATCACATGCATTTATCACACAAATAATATTTCATCGAGAAAAGCATTCAGGTCTCTTACTAAACAAGTAATTAGTATTGAAATTCAATATTATTTCCATGTATAATAGATTATAAAAAATTACTCTGATTCCATTATATATATTTATATATATATTGGAAGCAAGGAATTCTTTTATTATTTATTTTGGTAAGAAGCTTTGTACCTTCTCTATGGAGAAAAGTGGTAGTCGTACAGGGAAATCAAGTTGCCAACTGCCATCTGTTCTCTTTACTTGATTGAAAAGGGAAAAGTGGAACTCTTTTAATTTTGGCCACACTGCCGTGTGCTTCCCTGGATGGAAACATTGGAGTCTTGGTAGCCGCTCAAGCTTAAGACTTGACAATTGAGGAAATTCAAAGTTAACAATTGCTTCAATTCCTTGTTCTCCCATTGTAACAATTTCCTCCACCCCGCACCTCAATAAATGTAGCTTTTGAAGTTGCGAAAGGCTTTTGCCTATTGAAGCTGGAAACAAAAATTTGAGTGTGTTACAACGTTCTATAACTACTAATTCCAAGCTGTGGAAAGTGAGTATCCCTTTGGGATCTTTATTCCACACATACTTCAATCTTGGTAGGTTATCAACATTCAATTCTCTCAACTTGGTGTCTATTGTAGCATGTGTTTGTTTGACATTGAACTCAGCAATTCCAAATACCACTTCTAGCGAGCCACAATCAAATAAAATTAACTTCTCTAGGGATTTCCATATTCTTCCCAGCATATCAGCAGATGGAAAAACAGTGGATAACTTCTCACAATTTCTAACCATTAATGATTTTAATTTGGCAAAGGAACCTGCATGGAATTGGTTGTGCCATATGATATCCAAGTTTTTCAAGTGGGTAAGAGTCAGACTTTCCAAGTTGGGAAAAGCAACCTACATAATGAATGCATCATGCCACATTTAAATTAGTTCCTTAAATTAATGCGAAAACAAAATGCAAGCGAAATGAGTAAAATTTACCTGTTCATTGAAGAATGGTTGTTTGTCAACAATGACATTTGTGCTTGCAAAATATTTAACAATGAATCCTTCCAACTCTAGGCAGTTCAATACTTGCAATTGCTTTAAGGATGGGAATTCAACAATACAATTCCCTGAGTAGAATCCAACAATGTTTTGGAGGTCTTTTAGCAATAGGAAGTTCGATTGAGGAAAAATTAAATCCTTTTTTTGTTCTGCATTCTCTGTGACAATAATCTGTCTCATCCTCTTGCATTCCCTTATTTCAACTCGACTGAGCATCACTAGACCTCTAGCTACAGAAAATGAGAATAAGTACTCCAAATTATCACAGCCTTGAATGATCAATTTCTTCAGTTTCTCCACACATAAATATGTTATTGAAGTGTGCCATTTGATGTTAACATTCATCCAACGTAATTGCAGCTCCTCTAGGCATGGTAACACAACCTGCACGATGTAGAACTCATTTTGTAGTAAAAGCTTATCATTTTGTTGATGGATGAGAAAAAGGATGGTCAATCATGTTAAAAATGGTAGAGTTGGAGGAGTTGATCAATGTATTCCTAAACAGTAGTTGGAACTATTATTGGTAGGGTTTTAGCTCCATATATTTCCACCGAGAATAATCCAATTATATGATCAGTCAATTTTGGGATGGTAGGCACATCTAAGAGGGAAGTTTGGTCTTTACTGTACTATTATAACTTGGATTGTGTGAATATGCAAGAATGAAAGGTTATTTAAAGGGGAGGACTGGTTTGTTGATATGGCTCTCAAATTGATTGGAAGGAGATCATTTATGTGGACCAAAGGCAAGGTGGATGGTTGTTTATCTAGATCGGTGTCTAAATCTTACTCTTTGTGCTTTGGGACTTACCAGCAGAGGAGGTTAGAAGACGAACAAAAGTAGAACTTTCATTAGAAGGCCAATGCAATAGAATAAACCAAAGGTAACTGCACTATTCTACATATTTTGACTGTGCATTGGGTTTGGAATGTATTTATTTGTAAAAGAAATAATGACAGTCCCAAAGCAAAAACATGAGAAATAACATGCATATAAATTTGGGATAATTTAACATAATTTTAGTGATCAACCAGTTTTCTTAAATTAGTAATTTTATTTTAATTTTTGAGAGGGGAAGTTGAATTTCAAGCTACAATCATTTAAAGTAATTGACATTTATAAAGGTAATTATGTGGGATAATATAGCAGTATCAACATCAAAAGTACAAAGACTGTAAAAAGAAGTAAAATAAATAATTTTTAGGAAATAACTAACCTCATCACTGAAGAAAGGATGAATAGAGGTTTCAGGCCTTCGTTCACTTCCTTTGCC